GAGGTTTCTGGTGGCGGCAGCTCCTCGCTATGACATCGGAGCTGGGAGGCAGTGGTGGTACGGAGCTACGGGGAACATTGAGATGGTGGGTCCGGCGGGTAGAGAGAATGTTGCAGCTTCTTGTTGGGCAGATACATAGTTGTAAGCTTCGAACGAGTGAATTTTGTGGAGCGCCTTCTTCAGGGGTCTTCCTTGGAAAGGTGTGACCTGAGTATGCAACTCGATTGCTACTAATGGAGAGTCTTCTTTGTTTCTTCCAGTGAAGCTGGGTATGGGATATATGGAGCGATGGAGGTAGAACACGGTGAGTGGGGAGCACGAAGATAAGGAAGCATCTTTTGATCGGCACGGAATAGCTGATCTCGTGTGAGGATGGGGGAAGGAGGGGGCTGTGTATTAGGGATGGTGTGACCACAACTTCGGGGGAGGAAGTAACATGGCTTAGGGGTGTTTAATCTTTCTTACTTTCTCTCCCTTACCTTCCCTTACTCCCTCCTCTCTTGATTTGTGTCTTTTCCTCCTTTTCTGTTGTTTTCTCTACTACTGCGAGGTGTCGTTAGCAGGCTCAACGAGGACTGTCACGATGAGCTCTGAAAGGGGCTAGGCCTGGTGGCCTTCTGCTTCCGACGGGAGGGGGTTGGTCTCCCCCCTAAGAAGGCATAGGGGGACAGTTTCGTGGTGAGATTGGAGGAGGAATTGAGATGGGTGGACAACAGTTTACAATGACAAGAAAATCGCAGGGTGGTATGATGTGCATGGTTTTGTGGCTAATTTTTTAGTAGCAGCCTTCTCTTTCATTAGTTTTTCATATGGTTCTTTAGTTGTCTCAAGCGGCTTACAGAGATTAGACCTTCGACCCTAATTGTGGTGGTTGATACTATGCTGGATGTCCACATGTTTTCTCGAATCAATACTTTGTTTTTTCGAATCAATACTTTGTGGTTTACAATAACTTTGATTTTGATTTTCTAATCCCATATTACAATAGATATATAATTCTCGAAATCTTGTAGTATTTGTTTAGGTTTGAATTCTTCGTAAATCCTCCCAAATTCCTCCTTAACAAGCTCTTAATAAACTTCAATTTCTTTCTTCAATAGCATATGGATATGCGTAAATTCTTGGTTTCTCAAATAGAAATTCCTTTGGTTAATCTGCTATTTTCGTACAACCTTCTTCTTAATTTTCCTGTTCAAAGTGCTGAAATTCAATTCTAAATTTTCTAAAAATTTCTTCTATACTTGCTACTTCGGATTGTTATGTCCTAAGTTTGCCTTTTATTTTTGAATTCGAAGCAACTTGCATCCGAGTTGGGCTCTTATTCTCATATTCGAAGTCTTTTTTCTGAAAAAATATTCACTAGTTCGGTGGCAGTGGGTTGTTTGGGTGGAGATGATCGGAGATAACGCGCTCTGCGGCAAAGGGGCTAGCCTGTAGGGCGGAAATAGGGTACAGCAGCGGTGGAGATGGTGACTCAACCACGGTAAGTCTTGCTGGAGTAGGGGTGGGAATGAGTTCTGTTGGCCGATTGCAACCAGTGCCTGGAGGAGCTGGATGATGGAACCACAGCTATGGTGAGGATTTGTGAATTGTCTGCTGTCTGCTGATTCCTTTGGTCCCAGTGGTCTGCAAATGGACGAGGCCAGAACGACGCTGGTCGGTTCTGGGGATTGGTTGCGCTGCCCTGTAACTCGAGATGTATAGATTAAGTATCGGGGTATAGGGCGGAGGTGGATAAGGTTGGGCTGCTGAAAGGCACTAGGGCAGGTGGTTCTTGGTCTGAAAGCTTTGGATAATCTCAGTTGGTCTTGGTTTCTTCATAAGTAAGTTGGCTGTTTCTGGTTGATCTTGGTGGTCTTAAGAATGTTTTAGGACTCAGGGGACTCCTAGCAACTCGTCTAAGGTGGTTTCAACGCTGATATACTCAGTGATCTGCGGCTGTTCGATGCCAGAACGACGCTGGCCGGCGCTGGGGTATTGCCCTGTAACCTGCTGACGCAGGAGCGTGAGGCCTGGTAGAGAGATCTGGGGATGCTTTGGGGTGGGCATTCCACGGGACAACCAAGGGTTGCTGCTGGGACAACGCTGGTCGGAGCTGGGGCGAGTCGCGTTGCCCTGTAACCCAGCAGGATATGGGGGTGTGAGGCCTGGAAGAGCTTGACAGGGAGTAAGACAGTGTTGGAGAGCTTTGGGAGGGTTTGTTAGGGATCCCAAGGGTTTTTGAACATTTGTAGGACCTCTCCTATTCCCATGCTTTCCGAATTTCCGCAAGTGTTCTCACACGTTTTTCCCAGCCAAGCCGGGTAATGGCCCCGGTATCTCATAACTTTTGTCCAATTTGATATGGGACGCTGGGCCCAGTTCCCAGCACGTGTCGCTCCCCACGAATAGATTGTGCAAGGAAGATGAGCAATAGCGAATTCCAGAACTCAAACAGCATCATACACGAGTGACCAAATAGCCATGACCTTGAACCATAAGCAGAATGGCATCACGAGTTATACCAAATAAGAACACAGCAATAGTTCACAATTGACAATGCTGAAATTGTCTCTCATCATCATCAATGAAGAACAAGAGTTGGTATCCTATTGGCGCTCGGCGCCCATACTACAAGATGGCAGATCCTATCTAGCCTACTACTACAATGCCGAAGTTGACGTCAACAGCTTCACCGAGGTACGAGCATATGCGGCCAATGCCGCTC